ATAATACAAACAAAATTAATACTGGGTTGCTGTGAGTTTTCTGGGCTGAATGGCCATGTTCCAGAAGCATTCTCTTCTAACGTTTCGCCCACATCTATGGCAGGCATCCTCAGAGGTTGTGAGGTCCGTTGGAAATAAGGCAGGTGAGGGTTATATATCTGTGGAATGTTCAGGGTGGGAGAAAGAACTCTTGTCTGTTCGAGGCAGGTTTGAATGCTGCAATTGGCTACCTTGATTAGCATTTAATAGTCCTGCAGCTTCAAAGMCTGGCTGCTTCCTGCCTGGGGGAATCCTTTGTTTTGAGGTGCTAGCTGGGCCTGATTGTTTCCTGTCTGGAATTCCTCTTTTTTTTAGTGATGCCAGCCATGAAAGTCTTCAACAACACAATATYAATACAAATATTCTATTACTTTTGAACAAAAGAATACAGTATTTTAGAATTCGTTTTTACCTTAAAATGCATTGTGAGAAACAAATTAAAAATAATTGGAAGGAACTGTAAGAGGGATATATATATTTATATATTCATGGTTCTTAGATTAATGAAGAACCCCTTTTCTAGAAATGGGGTTCTTCATTAATCTAAGAACCATGAATATATAAATATATATATTCCCTCTTACAGTTCCTTCCAATTATTTTTAATTTGTTTCTCACAATGCATTTTAAGGAAAAAACRAATTCTAAAATACTGTATTCTTTGGTTTCTGGGAAAGAGAAGTACACAAGTAATTCGAAACCACAGTTCAACTACTTTTTTCTAGAAATACAGTAGTTGAACTGTGGTTTCGAATTACTTGTGTACTTCTCTTTCCCAGAAACCAAAGGCTAAATACTTTATCGTACTGGCATTCAAACTCTGCTCATCCTATTGCCGGTCTGCCTCCATTTCCCACTATTGATGAAAACATCCACTGATAGCCACAGATTATGCCCTGTTTCCATAATTTAGCTGGTGTGATGAGTCCATTCACTTCTGAGCCAGCATATTGGCACTGAAGTGACATCAGGGAGAGGAATACCAGCTTTGTGCAATAATGTCCCTAGCTTTCCTTCCCTCATTCTAGCAGCTTCTTGAATGATTTGTTGCTGGTCAATGGATCCAGACATCACAGTAAATGGCCATTAGTATGAACTGTGGATAGAAAACCAGCTTCAAATTACAGTTTCAGAGAAAGTTACTAACCTTTCCTCCCTTGCCTGAGGCATCCATCCGAGCCCTTTGATATAGATTGCAAAATACAGGTAGGCTCATAGGGCAAGTTGATCCTATTCCTTTTGAACAGCGGGAGAAAATGCTAGCCACTGACTTCACTAGGATTTTGCTTGAATAGCAGCTGTAAATATTGGAAATTGGGGGGAGTACTGATGATTTCTAATACTGTTTGAGGCAGAAATAAAAGCATTGCCTTGTACAAACTGGTGTTGACAAGTGTAATCACAAGCTGTCTTGTCTCCTGCTTTTTCCCTTCATGTTTCTTGTCTTGTATACTATGTTTTATTCAGACATTTAGTGCATGATGAAGAAATCCTTTGGTTTTTTCTATTTTTAGCGTTCAAATAAAGTTGCTAAAGATTTTCAGACAATACTAGGAGGGGAAACTGTGCAATTTGCAACTGAAGGATGCTTTGGCAGTGAAGAATGTAATTACTTTAAGTACAACGAGCTAGCCTTATTAGTGAATTTTCAAGAATTGTAAAGCAGCCTCAATCAGTCTGCATGTAAAATAGGTTATTATGTTTGGGTCTTATCAATCAGGGCAAAAAATTAAGCAAAATGATTGCTTCAAAGTAAGGAAACGAGGTTGTGCCAGAAAGGTAGGTTTTAAAACAAGCTCCAAAGAATTGTACTAAAATAGCTTTCATTAAAAGTATGATAAATATCCTAAATTAGAGAGGTTTGTAGAGGAGGAAGAAATCAGCATTCATCTCAAGTGACTTAAATTCAAAAGAAAATTGGATGGCAACATGTGTTGTAATATCTAGTTGCTGATTAGAACTAGCACTTGAGTAATATCACAGATTTTCTTAGTTTTCTTAACCTGTGCCCCCTACGGCAGTGTTGAAGTCCATTTTTCCTCCTGTATTTATTTATTTATTAGCTTAATTTATATTCCGCCTTTCTCTATTCCTAAGGGGACTCAGAGCGGCATTACAAATTATGCAGCAATTTGAAGCCAAAATGTAAACATGCAATACTATTATTATATTTATTTATACAAAACATAAACATACATTATTATTATTATTATTATTATTATTATTATTATTATTATAGTTATTTATACCCCACTTTCTCTCTTCTGCAGAAGACTCAAAGCACCTTTGATAAGAAAACCATTAAGTCAGTCAAATTACTCTCCATCATTACTTTGATCCCAGTAAAATTAAGGATACTTACAGAGCCAGTCTGTGCGTATCTTTGTCATTGTTAACAGTCCAGCTGACTTCGTCTTATTGTGTCTCCATGAATGAAGGCCTTTCAGGTCACCCCATGATCAAGAGCCATTGCAGATTCAAAGCTATAGCTTCCTTGATTGAGTCTATTTGTCTGCAAAAGTCTAAAATACCAAGAATTAATGTCTTTTCTAGTCATGTGTTCTCATGATATGACCAAAGCACTCAGTTTAGTCATCTTGGCTTCTAGGGAGAATTCATCCTTCATTGCTCTAGGATCCACTTATTTGGGTTTTTTTTTTCACTGCCCACAGTATGTACAGAACTTTTCTTCAGCACATTTCAAATGATTCTATTTTCTTCCTATCAAGTAAGTTCAACCTATGTCACTTACTTCCAGACAATGCAGCTATCATTCATAGTAAAACTAGACAGTCTTTAAAAGTTATTCATTTGTTATCAGTATAAATCAGCTCTTCAACTCTGAGGCACTTACTTTCCAATTGTTCTTATTTGGCAGGGACAGTCCCAAATAATCCTGCCTTCCATCTTTTAAAATGTCCTCAATTTTCTTCTCCCTTGTGCTCAGCTTATACTTTAAGTTCCAAGTGCAAACTTTGAGCTCCAAGTGGAAACAGTTTGTACTCAATTCAGCAAGGAAGAAAGGGAGAAGAAAGGAGATAAAAGGCGGAACCTTGCTTTCCCAATAGGCTTGGGCAAAAGGAAACTGCTACAGGGCAGTTCCACAGCACTTTAATGCGAGTGCAAGCGAGTTTAAAAAACATGATTGGACTCACATTGAAGTCCACAAACACCCCAGAAAGTGCATGTTTTCTGGGTGGTGGTGGTGAGGTTCACATGCCCAGCTGGGCTTTCCGGAAGCGTCGTTTGGCCACCCTCCATTTTGAGGCGGCAGCTCCTGGGATAAAGGTACTATCTGGACAGGCCCACAGCCTCTTCTAATATGTGTGTTCTTCCTCATTAATGACATTTCCTGTCTTGACCACAAACATTCGTTGTTTGGGTGTGCACCTTTAAAATGCTGGAGAGTATGGTGGCATCTCAGCCTATATAGATGCAGAGCAGTGATTCTCAAATCCTGAAAATGCCTTTGGACTTCAACTTCCTGAAGTCTTAACTGTTTTGGCCAGTTGTTCAGATTCTGGGAGTGGGAAGTCCACAACATCTGGAGGACCAAAGTTTGGGAAACACTGATGTAGGGAAACAAATGCTCTTTCTGGTTTTGTAGAGAATTCTAATGGAACTATGGAGACCACCCACTTCTGCTTTCAGTGCTGTGCATCACAAATATAGGAGCACTTGATGCATTTTCCTGGTGATTCATTTGAGTCATCTTGGGAACAGAGGAGCAGAGACACTGAAATCCTTCTGAAAAAAGAAATTAGAGGAGAGAGTGAGAATGCAAAACAGAGTGAAGCAAACTACATGAAATATAGCTAGTAGGTCTCTTCTCCTTTTGCTTTGAGTTTGCCCCATTTTATGTTGATGGAGCAAGTAGAGGTAGGACAGTATAGTTAGTTGTAGGACAAGGCATTATTCTTTGAACAAGGCCTTTGCTTTGATTATAGCCCTTGCAATGATGATTGAAAGACTTGCATTCTGTTTTGTAAGCCCTATTTGTGTCGAGCACTCCAACACAGAACCATCACAGCTATTTTAAGGACCACATTTCAAGAACTTTTCTGTCACCTGATAATAACTTTCTCTGGAGCTGTGATTTAAGGCTGTAGTAACACGTCGTTCTGTTCTGTTCAGTTCAGTGATTTTACCCACCTTGGGAGGAATGCTTGGGCTGTTTTACAGCTCCTGGTAATTATTCATCTGGGAAAGAATTTTACAGAGGTTCAGATGGAAAGTCCTCAAGGAGAATAAAATTGCTGTGTAATGAGATCCAAATGCAGGAGCACTGAAGTTAGTCCTACTTGCTTGCATATAAATTGAAATACAACACTTGCTAAGACATGCAGTTTTATTTTGCACTTGACATGATCAACCAATGCCTATTAGCTTTTGGGGACAGCCTGATGTAATGGTTTGTGTGTTAGATTATGACTTCAGAGACCAGAGTTCAAATTCCTACTCGGTCATAAAAACCACTAGGTGACCTTGGACAGGTCACACACTCTCAGTCCCAGAAAACCCTGTGAAAACTCCACTTTAGGGTCACCAAAAGTCAGAAATGTCTTTAAGGCACCCAATGGGGGTCTTGTGCCTCTAACTCCAGTGAAACTGGAGGGCTGACTGTGCATTCAAATAATACCATGTTCTGTTTATCAAGAGGAAATCCCTTTCCAGAAATGTCACTGTATAAAAAAATGAGGCTTGAGTGAAACTTAATCTAAATAAGAGGTTTATATAGCATGTTCCAATCCATTAGTATCCAGCTAAAAGTCATGAGAAATGTGTATCTATAAACTAGATTCAGAGAACTCTGTCCTAGTTGGCATGTTTGTCTACTTCGTGTCTGAGTCTCCGTCATTGTAATGATGTCCAGTTTTTAAAATCTTAACAAACAAACAAAAATCTTGCAATTGAAGGTTTTTGCAGGGACTGAAATGCTTTGCTTGTGTTTCTTTTGACAGGATAATTGAAGCAATCTGCATAGGCTGGTTCACTGCAGAGTGCATTGTGCGGTTCATCATCTCCAAAGACAAGTGTGAGTTTGTCAAGAGGCCTTTGAATGTCATTGACTTGTTGGCGATCACTCCCTACTACATTTCTGTGCTGATGACAGTGTTTACAGGGGAGAATTCAGAGCTTCAGAGGGCTGGAGTCACCTTGAGGGTCCTGCGGATGATGAGGATTTTTTGGGTGATTAAACTTGCCCGTCACTTTATTGGCCTTCAGACTCTCGGCCTGACTTTAAAGCGATGTTATAGGGAGATGGTGATGCTCCTGGTCTTTGTTTGTGTGGCAATGGCAATCTTCAGTGCACTCGCCCAGCTCCTTGAACACGGGCTGAAAATAGGAAAACCCAACGAAGGCTACTCCAGCATCCCAGCTGCCTGCTGGTGGGTCATTATCTCAATGACTACGGTTGGATACGGCGACGTGTGCCCTGTTACAATACCCGGAAGGATTCTTGGAGGGATTTGCGTGGTCAGCGGGATTGTGTTGCTGGCTCTGCCTATTACATTTATTTATCACAGCTTTGTGCAATGTTATCATGAGCTCAAGTTTCGGTCCGCTAGGTACGGCAGGAGCATTTCAGCAGAATTCTTAAATTAACAAATAGCACAATTGCAGTTTGCAGTAGCACCTAATATAGTGACTGATCAATTGAGTGTGGAGAAATGCCTTTTGCCCTCTCCACCTCAGGCATGGCCACTTGCTCCTTGCCCGATTGTAGCTAAAAATGACACGGGTGGAAACAAGGATAAAAGTCTTAATTTCTCTAGTCTTGTCAAGCATTAACGTTTGTACTCCTTGAGCATTTCAGGAGATGTGCACTGTTCAAAGTGAAGTACATATGTTTGTTTTTTAATCCTTGACTTTTTGAAATGTAAATTTTAATTTCACATTTTTTTTCTGGTAGTTCATTTGAATTGGACACAAGTTTAGTTAACCTAAAAAGTATATCCATTGAAATCTATGGACCATAAACAATTATGGTGGGCCTTTGGTTTCTGCTGACAGTTGGTTCCAAGACCCCCATGGATACTAACATCCATGGATGTCAAGTTCCATTATATACAACAGCACAGTAAAATGACAAAAATAAGGTTTGCTTTCCACATTTTTTGGAATATTTTCAAGCCATAAGTGGCTGAATCTGTAGATCCAGAATCTATAGATATGGAGTGTTGATTGTACTAAAGTCAAACAATAGCCCTATGGATTTAACTGTGTCACTTTAAGGCAGCAATGAGAAGGCTAGGGGATTGCATTGGCCCTCAGGAGACTTTCCTGGGCTTAAATTGATTGGGGGGGGGATGTGGTGTAAATGCACCCCATGGCCCTTAATGCACTCTATGCCTTTTAGTGGACATCTTGAAGCATTTCACAGCAATTTTCGGAGAACAAATTGTGGAAAAAATGTTTTTGCCCATGGTGGTGGCTCCAAACATTTTTGGAATGCCATCAATGCCCTTAGAATGCATATGAGGTAAAAAAAAGTTGATTCTTGGGGTCTATAAAAACCGGCACCCTTTGCCCACACCTGATTTAAGCATAAACAACCTGGATCCGACCAAGTAACCAGAATGTGCTCCCAGGTTGGCTAGATGGGATTTATTTAGTTTCAAATAGTGGCTTCTTGCATCTTATGAAGGAAAATAAAACTGCTCTTCTGGGATGAGAAAAATGAATAATCCAGCTTGCTTTGACCAACTCATTGGACATGCCAGTAAATGTTTCTGGAATACATCATTTGTCGGTAAATTGTGATTAATGGAATCTTTGCTAATGTATTTAGGGGAGGTATAGAATGGTGTAGAAAATATGGGTTGTTCCTCCTCCTCCTCCTTCCCCAAGTCATTCTGTTTTGTTAGGTCAGACATCAAACTAGACTGTAGGGAAAGGTCTGCTATTTTGAAATGTTTAAAAGAGGAACAAACTGGTATTAGAACTGAAGGTGATATGAGACATGGCATTGTATGCATTAATCTTGCCATACAAATTTCTTGTAAGTAAAAAATTGTAATTTTTATTCACTGTTTTCCCACTTTCTTGAGGGTCTCGAGCCTCTAACCCTAGGTAATGTGGAAAGCTGACTGCATGTTACTGAAATTTTGTGGGGTTTCTGAGAATTCTATCTTGGTGACAGCAACAGTAATAGTAACAGTGAATAAACAAAGACATATTCTTAGCCTTTACCAGAAATAATTCCCTGCAACAGGTAGCCACAGAGAAGTGCTAGATGCATTCTGAGGCACCTTCTTATTTGCCTAGAACTATGACCAGTGCCAGTTCCCAGACCAACTAGGGAATGATTCATCCCCAAAATTATGGAGATAGATCTGGCAAAACCCAGCACAGCATCTCAAGACTTTTGTGAGCATATAACCTATGAGACTCACCAGCGCTGTCAAAATGGAGAGAATTTTCTTGGTTAGGAGCCATTGCATTACAAATGTTTGAGTCATTGGCTAAAATAACCTTTCTATTTTTTATATATTTACATATAAAATACTGGTAGAGATCTTGTTCTGAGTCTTCTTATTCCCAGTGGAATGGAATTATTGCTGCATGCAGTGCTGATTCTCCCTTCCACATGACACCATTGCATCAGTACAGTGGAGGATATAATCTCAGTGAAAGCCAAGTAAATCTGTATTAACAAAAGTGGGGTCAACAGAGTTCCTGGATTCCAGATTTACAGCCAGAAGAAAAAGGGCAAGGCAGCATGGGAGGGACCACAGCAAAATCCATCTTTGTCAGGAAGTAAATTTACCACACCAGCTTCTGGACTGCTTGAGGGAGAGTGTGGCAAATTTCTGTGCTGATGTAGATGGCTTTTGGTATTGGTGTGTGTGTAGAAAAAGCAATTAAACACCAAAGTAAGAGAGATGCCCACTAGTGTAAGTTGACACCAAATTTCCAGTCATTCATTACTTTGGCTGCACATATAATATATTGTCCAGCAATACCATGTTGCAAGCTAAATTCAATCACTTATATACCAGTGGTTCTCAACCTTTTCCTTTTTTTTTAAACTAGGGACCACTTTGACCAAGGACCACTCTCCAAAATTAGTACCAAAAGGTTTACGAATCAGTTTTTGGTCAACTTCAGATTTGGTTTTATTATTTGTGGTGCTGATTCAGAAAACTGCATTGGATAGACCATAGTCACCATCTGCTCACCCACAGAAAACTATATTTAATAATCTAGAGCTGATATGGTCTTTCCAAGGAGGCGGGGCTGGTCAGCGCCAGGAAAGGAGTGGCAGGAGGCACAAAAGGAGTGGAAATAAAATAAATAAAATAAAGAGGAAGAAGGCCCACCAGATTTTCGTCCTCACGGCCCACTGGTGTTCTGTGGCCCACAGGTTATACAGTAAATGCTTCACTTTTGGGGGAAAGGTGCACAAGACCTCTGCAAATGTGTAAAAATCATGAACAAAAATCCTGGATGATTTTTCACCTAAGAGAACAACTCTTTAGAAATCTCTTTCACCAGAAGTTGACCATAAAATCATGCTGGAGGACCTTCAAATATCTAAAGAAGTGTTTGTCCTAGCAAACTGTAGGTCCTTCAGTGCAACTCTGTGGTTGTAATGATCATAGTGCCATACTGGGGGATCTAGAGATTCCTAGACAGAATATATTATTGAATCCATTAATAATTAAATCAGCAAAAGTTAAACCCACAGCCAACTGTAGTCACAATCACACTACAATAGCCAGAATGATGCTGAAGACAATTAAGTTCCAAATCCTGCCTTGCCAATCAAAACAGAGTGGGCAAGTTTATCTCCCTAAGTCAAACCTCTCTCTCAAAAGGTGATTTGTCCATAGTTTTTAGAGAATAAAATGGGATATACTCAGCCTTAAACTCTTTGGAGTAAATATATGTGTACTATACGTAAACAGATTTCTGTAAAACTTATTGATATTTGTATTCTCACAGGACTCTGTTCTTTTTGCTATTGTAAAATTACTCTCTTGGAGATTTCCATGGGGAAATCATGTAAGTCTTCAAGTCGAGGTACAGCATAATTTTCCAAAAATAATTATGCAGAGCAGAGCAGCAAATCAATGGTGAAAAGATTAGCAACCTAGAAATGTTGTTGTCTACTCTAAAAAAACCTATCCAAATCTCTTTCCACTTTTTAATCTTGTAACAAAATCTGCCTATATCTCCTTTGATTACTTTACAACCTTGATCGTGAAACTTTTTTTTTTTAAATGGAGATTCTCTGGATTATTTTGAAACTTAGTGCCGGGTGTCCTTTGTAGAACTGGCAGATCTGCAGATGATTTGAGCATCTCAGTCCAATGGGATTTGTTATCTGTGTCTGATAAAGATCCAGAATGAAGGATGCAGTTCTAAACTGATGCACCTCAATGTAACTAATTGACTGAACAAAATAAAACAAAACACAGCTCCACTGATATGGAAAAGGAGCTCTCTAGCTGAATGTAAGCTGTACTATGTAAAAAAAGTAGTATGTACCCTCTTGTAAATGCAGGACAAAAATAAAAGAATTATTGTTCTTATATATCACTGCTCAATGATACGATTGATATGATATGGGAAAGTAGCCCTGTAGATCTATGCTGTTAAATATTGACAATACTTGTAAACATGACAGTTTCTTGTTTCATCTATTTCTTAAAATCTGCCATAAATTTGAACTTTATAAAAGAAACCATGGGATTATTTTAAAACCATGAACCATTTTATTTCTTTTGAAAATAGATAGAAGATGATCAACAGTGGAAGGCATCGTCTTGGAGACTTTGGAGAGTTATATCTGCTTCTGCAATAATAATAATAATAATAATAATAATAATAATAATAATAATAATAATAATGAAAAGAAAAGAGGGGGGTGTCCCCTAAATGCCTCTAAGGACCTGGGACATTTTCACTATGTTTGGGGTCTTAAAAATGGTGGAAAATGTGATAGGAATGCCCCTTATGCCATCTAGTAAAGACTAAAGGTTCCCAACCTTTAAGAGACCATGGACCACTGAGGCGAAACTTGGATATATCATGGGTCATTGAGATCAATCAGCCCCTTTCCCCACCAAGTGCTCACTGCTCCACTCCCTTCCCTTCCCTTCCCTCCTCATGAAGAGCCAGTGATGAAACTTTCCTCGCCCCCCACCTTCATTGACCTGCTGGCTTTGGCTGCCTCCTCCTCCTTGCAATTCAGCCTAAGAACTGGCCTTACTTCCGGGTTGCTGTTAGTTTTCCAGGTGGTATGGCCCTGTTCCAGGAGCATTCTCTCCTGACATTTTCCCCACATCTATGACAGGCATCCTCAGAGATTGAGAGGTCTGTTGGAAACTAGGCAAGTGAGGTTTATATATCTGTAGAATGTCTAGGGTGGGATAAAACACTCTTGTCTGCTTGAGGCTAGTATAAATGTTGCAATTGGCCACCTTAATTAGCATTGAATGGCCTTGCAGCTGCCTGGGGGAATCTTCTGTTGGGAGGTGTTAGCTGGCCCTGATTGATTCTTGTCTTTCCCCTGTTTTTGGAGTGTTTCTCTTTATTTACTGTCCAAGGGCTTACTTTCTTGCCTCAAAAGCAAGTAAGGAATGAAGGATCCAATGCCACCATTCCTGCTCCCTCCACTTGTCCAGCATTGGACCTTTCATATTTGCTCTTGAGGAGGCTGCTACCAGAGCCCCATTTGCAATCTCCTTGCAACCCAGCTCCCTGCCACCTGGGCCTGCTAATGGGGTTATGGCAACAGTAGTTTCAAGCCCAGGCAAGGAAGAAAGGATCCAACGCTACCATTCTTGTCCTCTCCCTTTGACCATGTTGGATCTTTTCTTTCTTGCAGCCCCAGGTGGCTGAGTTGCAGGGAGCAGACTGCAAATGGGGCTCTGGCAGCAGCTTCCTCAAGAGCAGATAAGGAAGGAAGAGTCCAATGAAGAGTCCAAGAGCAGACAAGGAAGAAAAAGTCCAGTGCTGGGCAAAGGGGTAGGAATGGGGGCATTGAATCCTTTCTTCCTTGCCTGGGATTGAAAAAGCTGCTGCTGCTACTGCCAGAGCCCCATTTGCAGGCCCAGGTGACAGGATGGGGTGGCTGGGTTGAAAGAAGGAGACTGTGAATGGGGCTTCATCAGAGCAGCCAACTCTTGTCTCCCTTTAGCTGGGTCAATAGCATTCTAAGGCTGAGTGCTCATAGGAGCCAGGGTTCTGTTTGGGATGAAGAAGGAGGGGAGTGCTGGCAGGAGAAGGGTGTGTGTATGTGTGCTGGGAGATTATGACTTCAGAGCCCCTTCCTCAACAGCCACGCTGCGTCAACCCAGGTTTTCTGTGAAAGATCCCCGTGGACCACTTTTCTTACTCTTGAGGATCACTGGTTGGGAACTACTGCTTTAGAACATATGTGGGCCGATTATTTTGAAACATTTTGCAAAAAAGGAGTGCAGGGAGCCTCCAAACATGGTGGAAATGACCCTCAGAATGTGGTGCAAAAACCCCCAGCCATCCACACACAAACACACACAAACACACACACACACACACACACACACACACACACACACACAAACAGTGCACCCTTTCTCACACTTGGAAAATTATTTCAGAAGCTTATTATTTCCTTTCTTAATATATATTTTACAGAAGTTTATATTTGTTGTTAGTTTTGCATCATAAGGTAAAGGTAAAGGTTTTCCCCTGACATTAAGTCCAGTCGTGTCTGATTCTCAGGGTTGGTGCTCATCTCCATTTCTAAGCTGAACAACCAGTGTTGTCTGTAGACACCTCCAAGGTCATGTAGCCGGCATGACTGCATGGATCACCGTTACCTATTGATCTAATCCCATTTGCATGTTTTCGAACTGCTAGGTTGGCAGAAGCTGGAGCTGACAGCAGGAG